TAAACAAGTTTAAATTTACATTAGAAGATAGAATAGTTTTCGTTTTGTTTTATTTAAAATTTAAGTTGCTTATGAAACTAGATAATAACTAATAAATTTCAATTGATGTTTATGAAAATCAATTTTTATGTTTTATTTTGGTTTTTAGAAATCGAAAAACAAATTTTGCAAGAAAAGAAGTTATTGCAATATCTTTTATATATTGTTATATACAATAACAACAACATATGCAAATATGATTAAGAAATAAATAAATAATGTAAATGAATAAATATGACTGATGAATAAATAATATACATCGTACGATAATATACGATAAAACATGAAAAAAATATTATATGTATAAATAAAATATTTAAATATGTATATTCTTATATGTATAAATATGAAATAAGCGAGCAATGAAGCAATAAAGTATATCCTATTTAAATTTAATTGAATCATACACCATTTCTTCGATGACACTATAAAACTAATAAATGATGAGTCGATTCTATTATGTATCTTTGAATTATATTTAAATAGATTCATCACTATATTTCCCATCCATATTGATACTCAATGTCGATACTAGGATTGCTAGAGAAATTGCTTTTCTAAAAGAAAGTAATATATACATATAATTATTGAATTAAAATTTCTTTTGTTATTTTTTTTATTATTATTATTTTCTAAAAAGATTTTAATCTTTATTTATTCTTTATTGCAAATAACAATTTGTTTTTTAGTTTCGAAAGATAGAATATACAATATTTATATATAGATATAGAAATATCTAATCAGAGATTAATATTTGGGTGAAATAGAAAGCAAAGGTTCCATTGAGTTATTAAATCGTTAAGAAAATTTAGTTATCAGGCCATTAGTAACATCGAGTTTATTAGATTATTAGTGATATCGAGTTATCGGCTTCTTAATAGCACCGAAGAGTTCAATCACTATTAATATAAAGTTGCGAGTCAATGATTAATATATAATTAAAAGTCTACTAAGAAACTGAAATAGCTTTTAACCGCTAGTACTTACTTAGGATTGTCTGAATATAACTAATTGCACTTTTTAGGTTGAATTTACATTATTGTTTGTAGGCAGTTCACAAGCTATGTTTATCGGCAGTGTAGATATTTTTATGAATAACAAATAACATACAACGAATAAATGTTTGAATAATATTTGTGAATATTTTGCTGATGAATACGCGTTTTTATATTTATTTTCGTAGATTTTCTTTAATGATATTCATTAGATCATTTTATAAATAAGCCCAATTTTATTTGCAAAGAAACATTATTAAAAGATATTAAAATTAAATCATTTTCATTGCAATTTATAATAAAATATATCTAATTTTGATAAATAAATCGATAAATTAAAAATTTTATCCATTATATTGCTTTTTTTAATTAGAATATATTATCTAGCATTTTTTGATTTACCAAATCAAAATGTTATATTATGTTTTATTTCAGAAAGTTCATACGAATTTTATTTAAAAGATTACTAATCTAATTTATTAAAAAAAAAAAAAAAAATAACATAAGAAAAATAAATAATAAAACTTTGAAGTTTTTTATATACATATATAATATTCATTACTTCTATCACTTTGAATGAAAATTTATTTTAATTTCAAAGTTGCTTTTTTCTTATGATTATCGAATTTCCTAAGCTATTATAACGAACTGCAATAATTAGAATTTAATTATGATTTTACAATGACGAGAGAACAAATAGACACAATATAAAGATCTTGATAGTGAAATAATGAATAGTTTATTTCACATTAGCTTATTATCTTGACGATTTGATTTTAATTTGATTGATATTAATTTTTTAAACGAATAAATAAAATATCGCTCTATATATTTTGATAGATATTCAATGAATCAATAATTAATTATAAATTATTATAAAATTAAATTGATAAGAGATTTTCATTAATAATATATTGCGGGTGAATGTTTATATGTTCTATAATTATTTTCTATTTTTGTACTTTTATATTATCACGTAAGAGACATTTTTGAGACTTATATTGAGATGATTGAATAATATTATTGTACGATATTTTAATTTTTTTGAATACATACTCCAAAAATATTTAATTATATTATGAATCATCAAAAATTTGAAATGACGAAAAAAATTATGACATTTTATCGATTCCAGTGATGATACCAGTTTCATCTACAGTGATTCCTCTTCCCGTTTATAAAATGGAATATGGTTTCGGATTTGTATCAAAAAATAAAAAAGCACAATCATCCTCCAAACCTGAAGATGGAGTTAAACTAATAACAAGTAAGTTAAATATATAAAAAATTAATAATATATATATATATATATATATATATATATTATATTTGCACACAATATGGCCAATGAAGAAAACAATAAATATTATTTGTTACAGTCAAGAAGAGCCAAGACAAAAAAACATAAAGCTATGAAAGTTATTATGTGATTTTACGATGGTAAATCGTAAAATTTATCAATAATGAAACAATATAAATTCATTATTACATAATAATCTACATCAATTGTGCAAAAATTTCAAATAAATTTCGAATTTATTTTATATATGTGTGCGTGCGAGTGTGTGTACGACAGATCTTAAAATTGCATTATGCAGTAATAAGTTTTCACACCAAAAATTAATTTACCTCGATAATTAATGTTAATAATTTTTTCAGTATAAATTTATATTAATTTTAATAAGTGAAACAAAAATCAAATACTAAAAAGCCAAATTGTACTAACTAAAAACAGAATTTGTTAAGTTTTTGTATTTAATAAGAAATATAATGCATCGTTTTTAATATTATGCTTATGTATACTATATTTACCTACATTTAATATTTCAAGGAAATATGATTAATTATGATTAATAAGTAATTAATAAGTAAAAAATTATAAACTTTTATTGAACATTCAAAATTTCTATTCATTTACCTATTGTTACGATATTTCCATTGGTTCTTCCGCTGAAATAAAAATAAATATATATGAAACGTTATAATCGAGCACAACGTTACCATTTTTTTTCAAATTTACTTACGTATTTCATTAAACATAAAATCATCTTGATATTCTTTTAAGAACTGAGTGGATCTATTTTCATCAAGAAACAGTGAATAAACACGCTTCACATCATCAATATTGACCTGAAATTATATATTATTTAATTACATTCTTATTAATAATACAAAAATACACATAGAAATAAGTATACTCACTTCTGTACTTTTTCTTCGTCGACTAACGAGAGAAGCAGTCGTAATCAATTGAATCGCATATCTTAATGATGTTTCCAATGCAATTCTAGTAAGAACTGTTAAAGCATCATCTGCCATTTCACAATCTTCTTCTTCACATCTTATTTTTAAAATTTCTTTCAATTCTTTCTCTTGATAAGGACTTGTTGGAACAATAATCATACGATCCAATAAATCTATTGGAATACCATGTGGACTTTTGTAATTTGTTCCTCTGATTCTAGTAATGCCTATAAGAGAAGAGTTTGCCAATTAATTTTACATTATTTAAAAGTAGTATATATACAAAACCGTATATAAAAACCTCTATTTGTCGCCATAATAACGACTGGTGCCATTTCATTTTCAAGTGCTCGATTGAGAAATGAGAAACATTCAATATCAAGCATATGAACTTCGTCGATGAATAAAACACCTGGAACAATTTCAGCTTTTCCTTCCTCACGCCATTCGGCAACTTTAGCATTTATTTGCTCTCGTACTTCTGATTTAATTTCTCCTGTGTCGCCAGAAAACAATGCCAAAAATCCATGGGTTCTACTATTTATAACATCAACTTCATGTAAAGTTACTGTATGTACAACTTCCTTGCGTTTTTGTAATTCACCCTCAGGACATTGTACAAAACGAGTTTGAGAACCAGTTGCATCATAATCACGAGCTCTAGTGAATGATCTTCCCAATCTATTTATTTTTCCTGTAGCTTTATCAATTGTGATCACATCTCCAGCTTGTACCTTAAATAACAAATCATTTTAAAAATTCCAAAAAATATTAAAATATTAAAAATAAAAAAACATTAACATTAATCTTTATTCTTACTAACTTTTTCTTTCATTAAACTATCAATCATTTTATTCCTAAATCGTAAATTGTTTCCATCTCTGTTGTTTTTAATGTCAGTTTACCAACTTTAGCCCCTACACCTGTAGCAGGTCTGTCTACTTGAATTTCAACAACTTCACCTTCAATAATTTCTGTTTCCTCTTTAATTCTAACACCAATAGATTTTCTAATAGCTTGAGTCAGAGCTTCAGTTTTACTCATTCTAAAGAATATATTTCAGAACCTGCCATTGAAGTAAATGGAGTATCCATTCCTAAAGCTTGTGCCATTCCCATAGCAATTGCAGTTTTTCCAGTACCAGGTTGACCTGCCAATAATATAGCTCTACCTGCTATTTTACCATCTTTAATCATTTCAAGAACAACTCCTGCTGCTCTACGAGCCATAAGCTGACCAACCATTCCTTGAGATACCTAAGCAATATATAGTTTAATAAAAATAAATATTAAAATAATACTTAAAAATATAATATATTACATGACGAGGCTCCAAGCTATCATCCAAGCCTAAACCTCTAATATGAGAATGAGCTCCAATTCTTTCTATCCTTGTGATTTCACGAACTTCTTGAACTTTTGCAGCTCCAACAGCCTAAAATAAAAAAATAATTATGTCAATACATTATAATATTTTATAATATGTAATATAAATAATACTACAAAAGCAAATACTGATCAAACAACAGTTGCTATGCCAACCTATTTATCTTAAATTTCACTCAAAATGAAATATAAGAATATTTTATATTATTATATATCTGATATTAATACAATATATTAAAATAAATAATAAGATAAACAAAAATATTCTTTATAGTTTTAATGGGAAGATTTATAAATAAAAAATAAATTTACTATTAGAAAGGTTATGCGGCAAAAACAAGATAAAGCATATTAATATGAATTTATTTATCAAATATAGTATATTAAAATGAAATTAAATAATAAATACAATATTAATTTATAATAAATATTTACCGCCATGTTCACTGGTTTTCCACGTGTTACACTATCAACAAATTGAAATATTTTAAACTACTTTAAAAATTCACAACTTCATGACTATGTACTAGAAAGGAAACTTATAACTGCATAGAATATAGTGACACCTAGAGAATAAGTTATAAACTAATAAAATGAATATGAAATTGTCGATTGTATGAAAAGTAAGCGGTAAAAATTCAAATAGAAATAGAAAAGGAATAAGACTTTTTTTATTATAACTTTAAAATTAATGAAACCAATTCTTAAAATGTTTAATTATACTTTTAATACAATTTTGATATTATAAGAAATTTTAATTATGTTTTAATTAATATTATAAATGCGATTATATAAATCAAAATTCTTATGGAATTTATATAATCAATTATCTCATAATTTTATTATAATAATCATATTATATAATAAAATCATATATTTTACAAATTTATTTTATTATATTTAAAATTTGTATTTATATAAATAATATTAAAGAAATATAGATTATGAATATGAATATTCATATTCAACAATTCGAATATTCCAAATTTTCTTCGTGATTAAAACAAAGTTTTATTAATAATATAAATTTAACAATGTAATGATATTTTTATGTATATAGTTCTTATTTAAAAATAAAATGACATTTACAATTGCGTCAAAATATTTTAGAAGTACGCAATTGAATAACACATATTTCTCAGAGATATGACATATATTATCCGAAGAAATTGAAGAGTCTAATCTTAAGCCAACGACGGTTTCTTTGAGATATCTTGTGCCATCTGTTGTTACAAAAGAAACATAAAGCAATGTGTTTATCAGTGAATCGACAAAGTTTCATCGTGTTTAATATAGATTGAGAAACCGAGCCCCGTTGAGCCCTTGTGACCTTTCGTAGTTTGTGGTGACCTTCACACGAGGTTGACCGTAGAATTGTTCATCCGTCCACCACTTGTTTTTCATTTTTTTCCTTTTTCTATTGTGATACATTATTTCAAGTGGTAATAAGTGAGTTTATATTTAAAAATTGTTTTTTGACTCGTGTTTTCTCTTAAAGGAAATTTCTTTCGTCGCATGGTTCAATGGAACCGGCAAACCCTTAGAGAAATGGCATTACTTCATACTGTCATTGACCTTCAATAAATTCTTTCAAGACACAATGTGCTTTTTTCGGCTACAATATTTTTTAGGCAAAATAAACTTGTATTAAAATGTTTAATGCTTATAAAGTTATTCTCATTCATACTAATTTTAATCTTAAAATAGAATATTCTGTAACCATTTCAATAATCATTTTAATATTTCTTTAATGGTTTAAAACATTTATTTTTGAATTGTAATACCGAATTAAAATTAACATTATTTATTCAAAGAAAAAAAAATTATTGTGTATATAATTTTTGTTATTGAATGAAAAATATGTTAGAAAAATTAATATATAAAATTAATATAAAAAAAATTAATATATAAAATTATTTTGATAACAATTTATTATTATTGTAAAACATAATGATTTTTTATTATTAAACCCTAAATATATTGTTAATAATATTGCTATTAAAATGGTCAATTCTTTTATATACCCAAATTTTCCTAAAAGTAATATTACATGATTTTAAATATTTACAAATTTAAATTTATTGTACAATATTTAAGGTTGCAAAAAGAGAAAAAAATGTCAAGAGAACGTGTATCTAGAAGATTTTATCGTATGGACAGTAGTAATGATTTACTTGAATTTATGGATCGTGGATATTCAGCACAGCATGAAAATCGATGGTATTTTGAAGTTGCATGGGAAGCTGCTAATAAAGGTATAAATAATATAACATAATAAAACATTAATTTGTTTGTTTATAACAATTATAATTTTAACAAATTGTATTTTTAGTTGGTGGTATATATACTGTAATACGTTCTAAAGCTTACGTATCTACAGAAGAAATGGGTGATCAATATTGTCTTATTGGTCCATATAAGGAAACTTCAGCACGTACTGAAGTTGAAGAAGCAGATTTTCCGCATAATAATCCATTGCATATAGCTGTACAAGTTTTACGTGATCAAGGATTTAAAGTAAGGATTTAAATAATATATAAATAATATAGAAATAATATACAATAACATGTAAGATATTTTAAAAGTTATTAATACTTTAATTATAAAAATAACTAATAAAAAAAAGCATGAATGGAACATATAACATTGTTATTTAGAATGTTTTAACAGAGATACATACTTGCAGTTACTAACATTTTATAATGAACCAAAAATAATGATTTGGCTAAAGTCCAAATACAAGGTTAAAATTAATACAAGGTCAATTGCCTCTGTAGATGAAATATAATTACTCTCTTTGTCTTTGTTTGTTTTTTATTTGCTATTTTTTAAAAATGAAATTTATTTTGCTATAAAGTAAAAGATGTTATTGAGGTGGTAACAGGAACCTGGCTAGTGGATGGAAACCCACAAATCATTTTGTTTGATATTGGAAGTGCAGCATGGAAGTTGGATGAATATAAGCAGGAATTATGGAATACTTGTAATCTTGGTATTCCTCATTTAGATATAGAATCTAATGATGCAGTTATTCTCGGTTATCTCGTTTGTCAATTTATTTCTGAATTCAGGTGAATTTTACATTAAATAAAAATCAATTTTATTTTCTTTATTATCCCTTGAAAAATATTAAATATAAATTTTTTGATTTTAGATCAGCTGCTGAAGGATATATTGATGTTCCTCCTCGTGTAGTGGTTCATTGTCATGAATGGCAAGCTGGTGTTGGTTTAATTGCTTTAAGAACTAGACATGTAGATGTTGCTACAGTTTTTACTACACATGCTACTTTACTTGGAAGATACCTATGTGCAGGAAAGACTGATTTTTATAATAATTTAGATTTGGTATCTCTTTCTCTTTTATAAAGCTATTAAAATTAATTTTTTTCAATATTTAAATATATTCTTTTAATTTTTTATTTGTTCACAGTTTAATGTAGATGAAGAAGCGGGAAAACGTCAAATTTATCATAGATATTGCATGGAACGTGCAGCTACACATTTAGCACATATATTTACAACAGTTTCAGACATAACAGGTTTCGAAGCAGAGCATTTATTGAAAAGAAAACCTGATATAATCACGCCGAATGGGCTCAATGTAAAAAAATTTGCAGCACTTCATGAATTTCAAAATTTGCACGCTGTTAGTAAAGAAAAAATACATGAATTTGTCAGAGGACATTTTTATGGGTATGTTGGATAAAAAATCCATATAATAATTTTTTTTATTATATAAATCATCTATATTAAATCATTGTTTTAGACATTATGATTTTGATTTGGACAAAACTTTATATTTTTTCATTGCGGGGCGTTATGAATTTGGAAACAAGGGTGCCGATATATTTATCGAAGCTTTGGCTAGATTGAATCATTACTTAAAAACATCTAGACCTGATGTAACTATTGTGGCTTTCTTAATTTTTCCAGCACGGACTAATAATTTTAATGTAGAATCATTGCGTGGTCATGCTGTAAGTTAAATAATTTCTTTTTTAAATTGAGAAAGGACTGCAATAATAAAAAAGATTTGAGATTATTTTTTTCTTAAAGGTTACAAAGTCTTTGAGAGATACAATTAATGATATACAACAAAAAATAGGAAAGCGTATGTATGAAATGTGCCTTTCTGGTCGTATGCCTGACGTGCAAGACCTTTTGCAAAAAGAAGATACTATAAAAATCAAACGGTAAATATTAGAATTAGTAATGATATGAATTAAAGTTTACAAAAATATTATAATTTTTTACATTATTATAGGTGTTTATATGCGTTACAAAGGAATGGTTTGCCCCCAGTTACTACGCATAATGTTATAGACGATTGGAATGATCCGGTATTGAATGCCATTAGAAGATGCAATCTTTTTAATACGGTTCACGATCGAGTAAAAGTAATCTGATAATATATATACATATATTATATTTAAATATATATTTATTATTATTCAATCATATATAACTGATATCAATTTCATATCATAGATAGTGTTTCATCCAGAGTTCCTATCATCAACAAATCCATTATTTGGTCTCGATTATGAAGAATTCGTCAGAGGATGTCACTTGGGTGTCTTTCCATCATATTATGAACCTTGGGGATATACACCTGCGGAATGTACTGTTATGGGTATTCCTAGTATAACTACAAATCTATCTGGGTTCGGATGTTTTATGCAAGAGCATATAGCTGATCCAATGAGTTATGGTATTTACATTGTGGATAGGCGATTTATTAGCCTGGAAAGTAGTGTTCAACAACTTGCCCAATATATGTTCGATTTTGCACGATTAAGTCGTCGACAACGTATTATTCAAAGAAATCGTACAGAACGTCTTAGTGATCTTCTTGATTGGAGAAACCTTGGTATTGTAAGTATTATTTTAATATAAATTCTAATTCATTCTTTTTTCATACACATATATTTTTAAATGCAATTGTTTTTACAGTATTATCGCCAAGCCAGAATCAAAGCTTTGACAACTGTTTATCCAGAATTAGCTTCTGAATTTGCCGAAGGTGGAGTAGGACGTTTTAGTTATCCTAGACCGATTAGTGAACCACCTTCACCTTCTTCTTCTAGACATACTACTCCAGCTGCTTCAGTTCACGGATCTGACGAAGAAGATGAAGTAGATGATGAGAAAGAGGTTTTCTAATTCTTTCTTATTTTTTTGAATTCTATTAAAATTAAAAATTAAAAATTTCAATTAAATTTCGAAACTTAAAATTATTATTTTTTATTTTAGTTAGAAGAATTGCGCCAAACAAGTGGCAGATAAATGCTCAAAAATATCCAAACTAGTGAGAAATAATTATATACATTGAATGAAAACGTGGAGACTTCCTGATAATAGTGCCAAATTTCTTTAATATAATATTCCATGAAGAGAATGAATTAAATCAGTCATTTGTCATACTTTTCACTTTTATAGTTACACATCATATACTCTTACTTGCACACCATACGAGAAATGATCATGACAACATAACAGTATATACAACAGTATTTACATGACATGCAAAATCGTTACGAACAAGTCTTCCACGAATCATACTCGCACGTAATGTTTCATTGATTATGATGATATTGTTATCTTTTAAAAATTATATTTAA